AGAGATGGTGAATTCTAAAATTGCATTACACCACAACCCTAATAGTAATACCTTCAGGAAAGGTTATGCTAATAATATTTGCAGGATAATGGTACAGTTGGTATAAAATTCTTAATTTAAGTTTTAATATTGATTTAAATATTAGCATTAGCTACAAGTGCCAACACTGATCCTCCCAACATTAGAAATAAAGGGGGATAGCTGGCTAATAGATTGTGTTTTGCCAAAACTATTACCAAGCAAATTTAAAAATCTGCAGGTGAAAGGAGCAGCTGGTAAAGCAAGATCAGTAATTTATTGCAGCAGGTGAATGGTGTGCTTATAACATGCATTGCAAACCATGCAAGTACGCTCTGTCAACATTATGATCTTTAAAATATGGACAGTATCTCAAATGATTATTTTATTTTAAAAATAATTTTACCTTAAGATGCTCCAGGACATTAATACAAATTTCTTTATTGATATTGTGACTATACAACAGTAATGCTCTGGCTAGTGTAGTGTATTTAGCTGTAATTGTTTTGGCATTTATATGTTGCCCTCTTTCTGTAATGATCTCCCATTAATATGACACAAAACTCTTCCAACATGAGAACAGTCATAATTCAAGATACAGAAGCTAAATTTTTCATGAAGGTCAATATGGACAAATCTTACATAAGAAAATACTTTTTAAATGCTTGATATCAGTATGTTCAAAAGTGCAATGCTGTTGGGACTAGATGACCTTCATAAACTGCCCTGCCATGTAATACTGTCTCAGCCACCTGCCCATCTCCAGTCACCAGTCCCCGGTTTACTACATACTAAATTAACTATACAGGATAGTAAATCAATGATGATGTATGTAAAGCTCTTGTGTGTATTTGCAGTACAAATTTAGTGTTGGTATGGTTTGGTTCAACAGTAGAGTCACGCATTTATGTTGCCTTTTAAACTTTGTTGAAAAGTGAAACAGCTTTGCACCAATGATAACAGTTGTGCAAAACTCAACAGTAATCAAAACAGCTTTTCATTGGATTTTGATTTTTTTTAAAAAAATGTGATTATAGGCACTTTGGTTGACTGGCAGTTGTGTTGTTAATTAAATTTTAGTAAATTCCAAAGTGATGCAGCTAAAAATGATTAAGTGATCTTATGAGTTTGTAAATATCAATGGTTTTTCTTGAGGAAATTGTACATAAGTGCATTTCTGAAGGAATTTTACAAGAAGGAGGAGCGAATGCTGAACAGGTGGTGAATTATTGGTTGTATTGAAAACACAGTGAAACAGATTTTTAAAAGGTTTGTAGATGTAGCTGGATGAGGGAAGAGATTTCATGGATTAAATGTTTGCGATAGAGTCAAACCCTTTCCATTTGAAAGATCAGCCTGAGTAAAAGGCAGTGGGATTGGGAAATGAATAGAAAATAAGCCTGAGGAACAAAGTTGTGAATCCAGGATATGTTTGGACCAAGTTCTGAAATAAGATGGACCATGAAAGGAATTAAAATCAAGAATAGTTTTGAATTCACTGCATTTTGGGAAACCAGTGGATCTGGGGAGGAAGGGCAGAATTGGTGTTCTGATCAACATTTATGATTTGTGCTGAGAGTGTTGGCTAAAGAATATGGTAATTTAACATTGTGTACAAAATGGCTGCCACATTTGTCTGGATTGTAACAGTGATTGCACTTCAAAAGTTCTTTTAATTGTCTTTGAGTCACTTGAAAGGACTTTAATACATGAATAAAGTTATATAAATGCAATTTTTCTTGTTTTTTTTCTGTCTTGCAGTGATATTAAACTGATTTAAATTATATGGATTTGCTGACATCTTGAAGTGCAGTAATTAAGATGCTGGCAAGGTGATAATTTGAGAAATTGACCTTTGTAGTGATGGGTGAAGAGGGTAATGTTCTGGAAGAGGAAGGCAACAGTTTTGGAAATAGACCATATGTGGAATTGAAAGCTCAGCTCAAAGTCTAATTGAATGCCTGAGAAGCACTTTGCTGGGTTCAGTCTAAGTGAGCAACAAGGAAGATTGATTAGGTCAAAAACAGATGGATGTATGTACTGAGCAGAAAACAGAGTGGGTTCAGTTTTGTTGACAGTTAGCCACAGGATTCAAGTACTAAGTAATGCAGCAGATATCAGGACTTTTTGCAACAGCTCAAGAAGATATGGCTGTAATGTACTAAAGTGTTCTAACACAGGAGTGATTATCAAACAAAATTTCAAAGTTAAATAGTAAGAAATGAACAGTAAATTTTGTGTTGCTACCTTCATGATTTGCCAAGTGAGCACACAAGATTTTATGGAATTTTATTACTTCATTTGTTTTCTGAAAACATTTTTAAAAAAATTTGCAGGTTATTAATGCAGTAATGTTGTGACAACTTCCAATGTTTATTTAGCAGGAGTATTAAAGCATTGTTTATGTTTTTAATATGATATGCTAAAATGAGTGGGTTTTTTTTGTATCCTTTCATGCAAAGTTAATGAACAGAATGTGAGGTGGGAAACATTGTTTTTTGGTATCTGAGGAACATTTGTGAGCCAGAGGTTTAACTCATTAGAGAAGTTAGCAACTTTCATATCCTTTGAGAGTACCTGTGTTTTTTTTTTCTTTGTTTAGTTAAGTTCTAATCATAGGTGAGTGAACAGTAAACCCTTAGTATCTTACTTTTCGGTACCTATTTTCTTATGTCTCTGTAAAATCCTGTATGAGTCTTTGAAAGCAATCAGCCGATACTACAGTCATCATTTTAAGCTTAAAACGTAATGAGCTGGTTATGCAGACAAAAAAGATAATGTAGTAGTGAAATATAATGATAAATGACTCTCAAGAATGTTGTTTAATAAAAGCCAGCAATTCCTAAAATAAAACCAGCTAAACACACAAAGATTTTCCTTTTTCCCCATTAGAGATATTGACCAGTTCAATTCTTTCCATAGTGTCTCTTGGATATTTTTGAGATTTTTAAACTTTCATGATTAGAGGGATTTTCCAATTGTATGTCTTCATGACATTCTTCATCTGCCAATAAAAAGTGAACATTCCTCACTGCCCCATTTCAAATTCTTGATTTTGACTAGGAAGCTGCTGTAATTTCCAGAAGAAATTATCACTTCATTAGAAGCTGAACCAGTCTTGATGTACATTATTATACATTAGATTTTCTCGCAAGCTTGGTAGCAAGGCAACTGTCTTGCTGTTCTTACCTTCCTTGACTGTTTAAACAGTCGTTTTACTTCAGGATTTTTCAAGTGATAACAAAATCAAAACTTAGGCAAACACTTTTAAGTATTACACTGTGGATACCTGTTAGATTGAAAGTATTGGTTTAAGAACAGCATCTGACTTGAGTTGCTAAACAGCAGCACACATGTATAATACCTGTGCATTGTTATGTAATGGAAACATTAACATTGCATTCAGCACCTGATAAGAATTCTGAGCCCTGTGCATCAACTTGATCTTTTCCTCTGGCTGCTCGATCAATGCTGAACCAGACTGTTCAACTCACATCCTATTTGCTAACAAGATTGCTTCCTTCCAACTCTGCAACATTGCTTCACTATGCCCCTACCTTAGTAGACTATTGTGAATCTTTTACTTCTATATTCAACTTATCCAACGTTCTTTTGTCTTTCTGACATCCACTGCCCCTATAATTCAAACTATTCATCTGTTCCACACATTGCCTGTCCTCACCGAGTTACATTTGCTCCTAGATTTACAATGACACAATCTTACTGCGTCATCCTTATCTAGAATTTGCTCTGTACCCTATCTTTGCAACTTTCTCTAAAGTGGAGCTCTATCCCACAATCTCTATCTCTTTATTGTATGACCCATCTTTTGAAAGCCTTCAGAAAACAAGATCACGTTGTCCCAATCCTCCCAAAAAGACTAAAGCCCACTAATTTTCTCTTCTCTGATGCACCTTGGGATGTTCAATGCAAATTGCACATTTATAAGCAATAACTGCAGAGCTTTGGTCACTCTTATCCAAAAAATGAGTACGTTTTCAAGGTTGATCAATAGCTGATTGGACATTCTGCTCTCTTTGCTAAGATTACAAAGTATAAAAGTGAAGGCTTCAGTGATGTGAAAGCCATGCAGTTTTATTGCATTGTTGAACTATGATTATCTATTTGTTTGTAGGAAATTACGTTTGTATAATGTGAATGTTTGCCCCTGGATAAACTACAAAATTAGTGAAATATGTTAAGATAGGGTTAGAACTTGGGACAAGAGTAGACCATTCAGTTTGTCAAGCCTGCATCGCCATTTAAACAGATTCTGCCTGACTGTCTGCCTCTGTCACTTTTCCCTACTATCCACATCTCCCTAGGTTTTATTAGAGTCTAGAAACTTATTATTTCTGCTGGAATATGCTCAATGATTAAACTTCCAGAGCCCTCTGTGGTAGAGAATTCCAGAGATGCACCTACCCCTCTGAGTGAAGAAATTCCTTCTCATCTCAGGCTTAAATAACTTGCCCCTTATTCTGACTCTACCAGCCAGGGAAAATTTCCTATCCACATCTACCGTGTCACATTCTGTAAGAATTATGTACATTAAATTTCAAAAGGGTCACCTCTCATTCTTTAAACTCCAGAAAATGCAGGTCCAGTCTCCTCAGTCTCACTTCAAAAAACAATCCTGCCTTCCCAGGAATTATTCTGGTGAACCTTTGTTGCACACCTTTTATGCCAAGTACATCATTTCTTGGATAAGGAGACCAAAGCTGTACCCACGATATGACGTGAGGTCTCACCAAGGCTTTATACATTTGTGGCAAGACATTTTTTAATTCCTGTACTGGAATCGTCTTGCAATGAAAACCAACATGCCATTTGCATTCCTAATTACTTGCTGTATCTTCATTCTGGCTTTTGGTGACTCATGAACAAGGACACCTACGTCCTATTGGACATCATCACTTCCCAAACTCTCACCACATTTAAAAAATACTCTGCTTTCTACTTTGATCTACCAAAGTGGATAAATGGAAGAATATGCATTACGAGGAGACATCACACAAACTATGGTTGTTTCCCAGAAATTTAATAAGTTAAGTGGTGATTTGATTGAAGTTTCAAGATCTGAAGCTGTACAGGTAGGGTTGATAGAAAGTATTTCTGTTGGTTGGGAGACTGGAAGTAGAGGGCATAACCTTAAGCTAGGGTAAGACCTTTCAAGAACTAAATTAGGTAATTTCTTGAACACAAAGCATGTTAGAAGCTTGGAACATTCTTCCTCAAACAGCAACTATTGCTAGATCAGTTAATTTTAAAACTGAGCATGATAGATTTTTATTTTGAAACTGTATTAAAGGTTATCAGCAAAGAAGCAGATAACCTCTGATGTCACTGAATAGTGGGATAAGCACAAGTGGCCATTTAGCCACCTCTCAATCCTATGTTTATATCTTAATGCTTATTTTCTTTTAATTATTCTCTTCGGTTTTTAGTTATTTTGCATCATCAACCCATTCGAATGATGTCTTTCTATAAAACATTGATGGATAATGAGTAAATCCTGTCAACCTTAAAATACCTTATCCTTTGCCAGCTCATTCCAATTATAGGAAAATTCTGATATAAACCTACATGAATTTTCTCTTCATCTTAAAAGCCTGACTAGTTTAAAATTTCCATTTTGCAAAGAAAAACTGCATCTTCTGTGTTCCAGCTCATATCTGTGCATTTTTCTACCTTTGCAAAAACACAGATTCATTGCATTAACTATTTTTGCTGGCACTTTTAATAACCTTTACAAATAATTCTGCAAGGTTTCCAGAAGAATTATCTTTTCTATCTAAAGACATTCTGATTGGCTCTAAATAACAAAGTATGCTGTAAATAATTAGTTTAATCATGTTATTGAATCAGGGATTACTTCATGACTTTTGATCAATGTTACATTGATCTCAGTTGACCAACTCATTTCCTTTGGTGAATCAATCAAAGCTCTCATTCACAGAGTTATATACTTTTACTGCACTTGGCTCAGAGTCTTCTGTGCTATGCAGTTCCAAGTGTTCATTTAAATACTTCTTTCATATTGTGATGATTCCTGCCTCTACCACCCTTTCAAGCAGTGAGTTCCAGGTACCCACCATTCTCTGGGTGAAAACAATTCTTCTTCAAATCCTAACTAAACCCTACCTTATGCCTGTAGTATTTGTTCCCTCTACTAAGGGGAAAGTTCATTTCTAATTACCCTACTTACGCTCTTCATAATTTTGTAGACTTCAATCAGGTCCCCTTTTGGCCTTCTTTGCTTGAAGGAAACAACTCTGGCCTATCATAGCTGAAGTGCTGCAGCCCAAGTTGTCCTGGTATACCTCCTGAGAACTTCCACATGCTTCCTGTAGAATAGTGACCAGAATTGCACACAGTACTCCGGCTGTGGCCTAATTAATGCTATATAAAGCTCCATCATAGCCTCCCTACATTTGTGTTCAATGTTTAGATTAATACAGGTTTTCCCACATGTCTTCGTAACCACTTCATCCACCTGTACTGTTGCCTTAGTATGTATGTGGGCATATACAAACCAAGGTCCCTCTGATTGTGTGTAGCTCCCAGGGTCCTACCATTCATGGTGTACTCCCTTGTCGTGTTAGTCTTTCCTTAATGCATTACCTCCCACTTTTCATGATTAAATTCCATTTGCCACTGTTTTGCCCTTCTCACCAGCCCGTCTATGCCGCAGTGCAGTATGAGGTTTTCCTCCTTGCTATTTACTATACCTCCACTATTTGTGTCATTTGCAAATTTATTGAGCAACTCTGTCATATTCATGCCTGGATTGTTCATGTACGTAACAAACATAAAGGGGCACAGCACTGAACTTTGTGCTGTGTCATTAGACCACAGGCTTTAGCCACAAAAACAATCTTTTTGGTCATCACCCTCTGCCTCCTCCCACTAAGCAAGTTTTGGATTCAACTTGCAAATGGCCATACAGTCATGTGAGACCTTGTCAAAAGTTTTACTGAAGTCCATGCAGATGACATCAACTGGTATTACCGTCATTTACACACCTAGTCACGTCTTCAACAAATTCAATCAAATCAATCATATGTGATCTGCCCCAGACAACAGTAAGGACTATCCTTGATTAATCCTTGCTTCTCCAGGTGCAGGTTAGTTCTGTCTCTCAGAACTTTTACCAAAAGTTTCCTTACCACAGATGTTGGACAATAGGCCATTGTGTCTTGCAGTCTTCTGACCCTGTCCTGTGGTCAGAGGGGATTTACAAAATAATGTCAGGGTCCCTGCAATTTCCTCTCTCGCCTCCCACAGCAGCCTATGATACATCTCATTTGGGCCTATCCAATTAATAAATCTATCCAATTTAAAGCCTACTGCAACTGTTAATGCATTCTTCCTCTCAATTCCTTCATCCTCTTCCTTTTTTTCTCCTCCGCAACCAGAACTGAACTTTACTGTGTAGTATTAAAGCAGAGGTATTACTAATGGAGTAAAATTAAGCAGCTAATTTATTTTAGAAAAAGAAAGTACTAATACATCTTGATCTTGTATGGAAGATATTAACAGATACCCATGGACAGTGAGAATCATCTTTTTAATCTTCTTTGATAGGTAGGTTGCTAAGACATTGAGTAGGTTGGAATATATTGTGCCAAGTTGCCAATACTTAACTTTGTACATAATTAATTCACTGTTTAGAAAAGGTTAAAGAAACCTTACTTGCTGTCATCTTTGAAACTTGATTGAATTGAAGGATGTACTCTTTTGAATCTTTTTTAAAAAAGTCTAGGTCATTCATGTTTCATGTCTGATGGGTAAACCTCAGTAACTAACCTAATGTAGAATTTGATGGTATTGAATCTCTCTAATCTGCTGTCAGATAATTGTAAAAGAATGAGACTAGTCAGTCTTCACATCAAAGTTAAATAAACTAATTCTTAACAATTATTCAAGAATTTCTAGATACTACTTAAATAGGCTATTGTGTACTTAGATCATTGCAGATGTAATTAGTATATTGCTTGGAATTTTTGCTTTTTTTATTAAACTTGGGGAAACCTCTACTGTTCAGAATTCTAACATTTGGAGGAAGTTTTTTTTAATGCAGTGTATAATGCAGGAAAAATAGCCTTGAGTGACCATGGTCAAAATAATATTTTCCTTAAATACATCACCCTATTTCCAAACTAACATTTCTGCAGTGTTTTAGTTCAATAGGAAAATGCATTTTTTGAACAAAATTGGATTGTATTTCTTTTGGAAAAATCAAAACTTATTTGACAAAAGAATAGACGTCCATTTTATTGGCCTTGAAATGTCCTGATCATGTTTTTTTGTTGTTTTCTCAAGGTAATTTGGAACTTGCCTCTGATTTGCTATAGACTTGCTCAATTTTAAACTGAGACTTTATAATAGCAGGATTAGGCAAAGTTGTCCTCACAGAAATAACAAATGGAATTGTCTTAAACCAACAAATTACTGGCAGGCGTGTGGTATCCATTTGTAAAATGTCAAGGGGTGAACTTAAAACTAATATTATCAGGACTGAGACCCTAGATGAACAGCAGTCTGGTAACTTGAATAACTCATTTCAAGTGATTTATAAGGACTGTCATGTTTGACACAATATCGTGGACCAAGGGGCCCATTTCTGTACTGGCCAGTTCTCTGTTCTCTGACTGGAGTATTTCACTTATTTAGTAGGGCAGTTTTGTCCCGCATCTTTGGTATATAGGTCTATGTACACTAGGTGACTTGGTATTTGTTTAGTGATTAGGTTTTGTTGCTTCACTGTTGGGAGAGGTTGTTTAAGTGCATTGTTTTTTATTTTGTATCTTATGACCCCTAGGCATTAGAAATTGTTTCATATTTCCACATTGGCTTATGTTCTTAGTTTTATAAAAAGCCAATCTGTATCAATCTGGAGCTTCTTTTGTACATGTAGTTCTGATGGTTTGGTTTTGGTTTTGTTTTTCAAACACTTTGAGGAAATTTCTGATCTCAATTTCCATTGCCTTCCAAATGCACCCAGCATAATTTACAATGTTTTTGATTTCCTTGTTATGGAGACAAAGCATTACTTGTTAGCAAATGTTATATGTGTGGAGTTGGAGAAAGACTTCGATGGAGATTGGTAAAACAAAACCTTGCTTTGCAGTTAGTTGTCCGAAGATGCACGTGATGAAGAGGTCGGACCTGATATCTGTTGCATCTAAAGTGGAGCACCATTCAAGGAAATGTCCCTGATATTTAAGGGAAGGGTGCCGGAGTTTCGATCAGAACAGGAAACCAAGAAATCCTGCCATATTTAACAGAAATAATTCATTTCTTAAAAAACTTTGTCCAGCAACCACTTAAATTTAAGGCTGGCTGGCTGCTAGATTGGAAAGCCTATGTTGTAAAGCAGCAACCAGAATCCGCTGGTGACAGTTCTTGTCAGTTGAGAAGATTTGAGATAACAAGGTGTAGACCTGGATGAACACAGCAGGCCAAGCAGCACCAGAGGAGCAGGAAAGCTGACGTTTTGGGCCTAGACCCTTCTTCAGAAATGGGGGAGGGGAAGGGGTTTCTGAAATAAATAGGGAGAGAAGGGGAGGTGGATAGAAGATGGATAAAGGAGAAGATGGGTGGAGAGGAGACAGACAGGTCAAAGAGGCGGTGATGGAGCCAGTAAAGGTGAGGGTAGGTGGGGAGTTAGGGAGGAGATAGGTCAGTCCAGGGAGGACGGACAGGTCAAGGTGTCAGGATGAGGCTAATAGGTAGCAGATGGGGGTGGGGCTTGAGGTGGGAGGAGGGGATAGGTGGGAGGAAGGACAGGTTAGGGAGGCAGGGACAAGCTGGGCTGGTTTTGGGATGCGGTTGGGGGAGGGGAGATTTTGAAGCTTGTGAAGTCCACATTGATACCATTGGGCTGCAGGGTTCCCAAGCGGAATATGAGTTGCTGTTCCTGCAACCTTCGGGTGGCATCGTTGTGGCACTGCAGGAGGCCCAGGATGGACATGTCATCTGAGGAATGGGAGGGGGAGTTGAAATGGTTCGCGACTGGGAGGTGCAGTTGTTTAGTGCGAAGGCGTAGGTGTTCCGCAAAGCGGTCCCCAAGCCTCCGCTTGGTTTCCTC